CGCACTTAGACGCCCCGGCGGGCACCGCATTGGGGACTCCTGGCATAGAGCGGCTACACAAGAGATCTTACAGTGGCGCGGTTGCATCAACACAGCTCTGCCACTGTAAAGTCTTTCATATAGACATAGCCCTAGAATAGAATTGGTCGGCTCATTTTTTTCCTGTAAAAAAATTTCCATGTAAACGGAAACATTTTATTTCCATCAACATTTCTTCGACTTTCTTAAAAAAAACCCTCCAAACTTTTAAATATTTCAATTTAAAGGTGTTTTGGGGTTAAAACATACAAAATGTCAAAGAAATCCTCATGTTTGAGGGAGACATTTTCCATTTTTGTCAAAACATTTCTTATTAGTAAAAAACTTGTGACAAAAAGTTTTCAGCCAGCTCTGATCTGGCGTAACAGATCTTGTCTTCATGGGAAGCCCTGGTCTTCACTAGGAGAGAAGGTGAGTTCTTACCTCATCCTAGCTGGCCCGTGGTGACTAACTGAGGTTTAAATCCTAGTGAAAATAAGGCCGTTGTAATTGTAACCCTGGGCTCCCCCATAACCTTCACCTCGAGACTTGCTCACTGTGACCAGAGTCTCAGGGGAACCAACTGAGGTCACTCAATTAGGGTGAACTGCAAAGAATCGGACAGGCAATCCCCAAAGCTGGTGGCTATTCCAATACTTAGATTTACCAGATCAGCTTCTATAATACCTCACTGGTTACCCAGAAACCAACAACACAGTTCCCTTGAAGTAACCCAGCCTTAGGCCTCCACCCAGACACCCAAGTCAAATATGAGGAGGATTACTGAAAATCTTATTCATCATACAAAAAAGTTCTACCAATCCCAAAGGATCGGACACATTACCTCCCAGGTTAAGGAATGTTCCAGACCTTACCCAAATACACGCTTACAACCAATCCTTATTAACTAAACTAAAATTTATTAAAAAAGAAAAGAGCGAGAGTATCGATTAAAAATCAGTATACATACAGACAGGAGTACAGTTCTGAGCTCAGATTGATAGTAGAGCTTTGTAGTTGCAAAGAGTTCTTTCAGAAATAGACCGTAGATTATAGTTCAATGTCCATATTCAGGGTGAATCCAGTTTAAGACTGGAGATCTCAGCCATGCGGCTTAAGCTTCCCCTGAATGAAGCATCAAGCAGATCGGAGATAAAAAGAATTGGGACCCAAGGCATCTTTATACAGTTTCAGGCCTTCTTGTGACAGCTCCGAGTCCTTTGGTGAACAATAGGCACTTATGGGGATTTTTGAAATAGATCCATTTCCTAAGCATCGCTGGTAATTAACTATATGGATTAACATAAGGCAATTGCCCGTTTTCTATCATTCTCACGTGATTTCCTATACATTTCAAAGAGAAACGAACACAGTGATGTTAATATGTTTACAGTTCATCTAAATGTTAGTATGTTCCTTTGGTCTCTGAATCAATAGCTATATTGACAGACAGGAACTGTCTGTTTACCTGGCTAGCATCAAACAAGATATGAGTACACACATACTATTAGTATCACCTCTAATTTCTAACAATATAGGTTTGCATTTCAAAGTTCTAGCCTATCTACCATGGAATGGCCTTAATTACCATTTACATACTGTTCTAACATCTCTCTAATGGTTGACTCTGGGTCAATTATCCTGCAGGATGCTTAACCCTTTCTGGCCATACGTCATACTTTGTATAAGGTTTGTTGCAATTATATAACGGCGGTAGCAACAATGATTTGCAAGGTCATATTTTAATTAGATAATGTCACACTCCCACACATGAAAACCATATGTTGCCTTGTCTCCACTAGGATCGTACCTCATGTTAGTTGCCTTGTATTAGCTAACATGAGGTAGGAACATAACCTTTTTTCGAAGGGGCAAAATCACAACAACTGGTGATGAAGATGGGTCCCTAATCCTGGGGTGCCTGCAACACAGGGACTGGTAGTGACCTGCTCATGTAGATAAAAAATTACTTTATAAATGTTTGTATGTCTGGGGGATATTTACTTGTCTCATTGTTCAGCAGAGGGCTGAGCTATCTACATTGCGAGACTGGAACCGTGTACCATAGCGAACGATATCTATGATGAAAAAAAGTGGGTGGTTTTACTGAGCGTAATGGCAGCTAAAACCCATAACTTGCAGTGCAGCCTTACTCTTGCTAAACCAACCGATGAAAGATTTGCTGAGATTATGGAAATTCTGTTAAGTCACTGCTCCCCAATGCTTCCGAAAGCAAATATTAGACACAAAACCAAAAATTGTGCTTCATGATGGGAGCTCATCCACTAACCTTTTGTGATATGGCCAAAAGGTAGAGGAAGAGCTGCAGCAGTTACAGGATGCTGAAATTGTATCCAAGGTTAACTGCAGTGAACGGAGCACCCTTATAGCATCAGTAGGAAAAGAATGGGGCTGTCGGTATTTACAGTGATTTCAAGGTAACACACATGAAAGCAAAAACTTCACCAGGGGGCAATGCCTAAATTTTTTCAAGCTCATCCACTACCGTTTGCGATACAGCCATGGACAGAGACATCACTTACTGGGCTCTGGAAATCTATCCAAGGTTAGCTGGAGTGAATGCAGCACCCTTATAGTGGCCGTTTCAAGGATCCCATAAAGTAGGGTGACCAGATAGCAACTGTGAAAAAATGGGACAGGTGGGGGGGAAATAGGCACCTATATAAGAAAAAGTCCCAAAAAATGGGACTGTCCCTATAAAAACGGGACATCTGGTCACCCTACCGTAAAGCCGGTATTGCATGCGGATCAGCTTACTTTACATGGAAGAGAGATTATATTTGCCTCATTAGCTGTGAAGAGCATTTCTCCACGATCAACCTTGCCCAACCCTGTCTCCAAATTAACAGACACAAAGGCTTACTCCAATCTAACAGGCTAGTGTTTGGAATAGGTTGTGCACCTGCTATTTGCCAGTGAGCCATGGGCTGTGTATCATAGGGCATTCCTGGCACTCGGTTTTGCTAAGACAATATACTAGTCCTGGCGATAGTTATGAAGAGCATTTTGAGACCCTCCAAAAGGTACTTGTGAGGCTGGCTGGGCAGGGGCTTAGAGCAAACAAGGGGAAATGTGAACTTTTCACAGAGTCATGTACATCTTGTGGCCACTGACCAAGACAGATTGCATAGATCCCAAGAGAAAGCTGAAGCTGTCCTTAGCACGACCCAGCCACAAAACGTGCCCTACGGTTACATGCCTTCTGGGGCCTGGTCATTTAGTACCATCGGTTTTTACTAGAGCTGGTGGGAAATAATACGTCTGAACCATTTCCCAAGAAAAATGCCCTTTTTGCAAAGCCATGGGAAAATTTCAGGTTTTGCCAAAAAAATGTCAACTCCCTGTCAGGAAAATCGAAGTGACAGCTCCCCCGGCAGGCAGGCTGCAACGCTCTTGTCAATTTCACTTCGGCCTGCCTGCAGCTGGAGGGGGCATGGAGACTGAGCACCCAGGCTTTCTGCCCCGCCAGTCCCGGAGCTGGGTGGGGAGGCTAAGCTGCGGTCAGGATCCTTGTCTTCTATTGCTGAAGCCACTGGAATCCTGCCAGAGCAGCACCATACCCCTGTAGCTCGTCTTTGTCTATCTGCATGCAGTTAGTAAACCTCGTTCTTCGGAACCAGTGGGGCTGTGTGGTTTCCACATATTCTTAACATTGTGCAGAGAGCACAGACACAACCGTCATGTTCCAATGTGACTTCATTTTCTAGCAAGGAGCAGCCCGATGCTGAATTATTCTAGGTTATGGTGGTGTAGCGGAGATAAAAATCCGCTCTTGAGAGTTCAAAGTGCTTTCACAAATGTCGAAAGAGGAGGCTGCAGGGTTGCCCGCCCTCCAGGATCATCCCAGAGTCTCCAGGAATTAAAGATGAAACTTTAATTAAAGATTATGTCAGGTGATGAAGCCTCCAGGAAGACGTCCAGCCAAAACTGGCAACCGTAGGCAGCTATGAGGGTAAATTAAGTAAGGAGGAAAGTGTTCCTATCCCCATATGGCAGAGAGGGAAAGTGACTTGCTCTCTGTCACATCAAATGTCAGCAGTAGAGTCAGGACTGGAATTCTGGAGCACCGTTACCCCAAGGCAGGATACGAGCGACTCCCACTGATTGCAGCTGAGAGCGCTGTACCTAAGAGCAAAATTTGGCCCCTAGATTTGCCCGTGCTCAGAGTAGCTCATCAGGAGCGGCTAGATGTTTCTGCCCATGAGTTCAATGTCCCATTGACATCAACTCGGATTCTGTAGCAGAAGATTAAGGGCCAACAAGCCCCACCTCGAGGGTGTTGAAATGTCCCAGGTTCCCTAGAGTTCCACCTTCCTGGTTCCGTTGGCTCTTTGGTGAAATCGGACCAGATCTGTGAGATGTTGTGGTCTTGCTGAATTGGCAAATTGTTGAATTGGAAGTTTTTCTGACCAGCTGTAGTCTTCAGTTAACAGATGGGTAAACTGAGGCCCATAGCAGGGAAGTGACTTGCCTGAGTTCAGATAGGGATTCAGCGGCACGGTCAGGAATGGAACCAGCACTCACAATTCTCAGGCCTTTGCCATAACCACCAAACATTCTTATCAACCTTATCTTAACTAAAGGAGGGACGATCATTTTCTAAGTGACCAGGGTTCTGCTTAAACCTCATCCTCCCTGGGCCTCTGCTACCACATCTCAGAGTGCTTTGAGATCTACAGATTAAAAGAGCTGCATATTATCAAGCCACTAGTCCCAACAAAGGAAGGGAAGATGTAGTGAGCCAGGTAGTGTTTAAACTTGGAGCTGCAGCATCACTATCCTACAACACCATGTTAAGTGTGGGTGGTATTTAAATGAAATTCCTGTGGTTGGTTTAGCTTTAAATTCGCCCCTACTCAGAGCAGCTGCATGTTTCTGCCCAGGACATACCGCTTTGATGCCATGCTTCCCTCAGCCAGGTGTTTATTTTGCACCAAGAGATCAAACCAAAACACATGTGCTTCATGTTTTTAATGCCTTTTATTTATTTGCAGTCACCTTCGAAGGGGAGCCCAGAATTCACCGGAGAGAGGCTTCAGAAATTTGCAAAAGTTCAGTACAGAGAGATGTTCAAAATCCTTGGCAAGAGGCATGCGGGGGCCAGAGTGTCACAGCCCAGCAGGTTGGAGCAGAGGCAGGAGACGGTTCGGAGCAGCGTGGAAGACAGTCGGTGGCACTTACGCTGCTGGGGCAAAGCCCACCTGACTGTTGCCTACATCGTAAACAGAGTAATATGCCCTGAGGAAGACGTCACCCAGGATCCAGAGGGGCTGCCCGTTCTGGGATGGCAGATAAGTGGGTGAGATGCCCACGACGCACTCGGTGCTTTTGCTCTGTTGAGAAGAAGATAGAAAGCTGAGTTAAAGCCCTTTGGTTTGGAAGCTCTGGTCATACCCCGTCACATGGATAACACAAGTACGGATGTGCCCAGCAGACCCATATCAAATATACAGCTCTCCGGGAGCCCACCCAGAGGAGACTATGCAAGTAGAGGAAGGTGAGGATAGCGCACTGCGATGAGAATCCATACCGGGAGCACGTAGGCAGAGGGGCTCAGCGGGAAGCTGGTTCCACTGATGGTGAAGGAGATGGTAGGCATGCTGTCAATGCTGCTGCAGCTAACCGTGTACTGTGGAAAGAGGAAGCAAGAGCAGGTTTGCGTACTATGTACAGCCACTGCAGACAAAATGCTACATCCCATGGGACTCTCGAACCCCGCGCTTCTCCACACAGAGCTGCCTTCCATCAGCCTGGGAAAGCTCTTTATAACGATCACATGGAAAAGGAAGGAAGTCAAATGCTTTACTACAATTGAAAGGCCTCAACACCCTGAACAAGCAGAGATTATTAGGTCCACCTTACAGATGGGCAAACAGGCACAAAAAAGGTTAAATGAGTTGCCCAAGACCCAACTGAGAGTGAGTGGCAGATCCAAGAATAGAATAGTCCAGGCAACCAGTCACCTGCTTTAACAACTAGACCACACTTTCTCTAAGCTGCTTCGCCTAACAGAAACCTGCTTAGCGGCAAGGTTCTTCCCCTCTTCCACTTTTAAGCCTCCCGGTGGCCAGCTGTTCTCCATACCTCTCCATCGCTGTTCTCCTGAGCGCCAATGTCCTCCATCAACTGCGAAAAAACCGCCTGTGGAGCAGTGAGTAGGGAAGTTCCAGTGTCCACAATCCCCTGGCAGCCACTGCTACACCAGCCAGTGGACTGTCCGTCAACAGAGAAACTAAGGGAACAGAACACAGGACACTTCAGCAGGAAAATTCCGCAGCAATGTACCTATCTCTTGCATGATGAACCAAGAACATGGGGGTGCTGCCATTAGAGATGTTAGAGCCACTGTTTTGTGTTCTCGTGGCATCTCTGGAACTTTTTAAGTTTGGGTTATCTAAGGTCCCACAGAGACTCGGGCAGAGTCTGGAGTAGAACCCAGGAGCAGAGTCCGGAGTAGGAGCCAGGAGTCCAGGTCTTGGCTCCCAGAGTCCTCTGTCTGATCACGGAGGACAGGTTAATCAAAGGCTATTAGCCAAGATGGTCAGGGATGCAACCCACCCCATGCTCTGGGTGTCCTTAGCCACAGATTGCCATAAACTGAGAGTGGACAACAGGGAATGGATCACTCAGTGATTGTCCTGTACTGTTCATTCCCGCTGAAGCACCTGGCATTGGCCACAGTTGGAAGACAGGCTAGATGGACCATTCGTCTGATCCAGTGTGGCCATTCTTAGGTTTGTTGTTATGATCAAACATGTTCCAAAGCCCATTGAAATTAATGGAAGGACTCCCACAGATTATGATGGGCTCAGGATCAGGCTCTACATTCCTACAGAAAATATCAATGACAACCACCTTACCCTTCAATTCCAATTTGCCAATAAGCATCCTGGGTGACAGGCGTCCAGACAATCTGACCAGAGTGCAAATTGGAGTCAATCCCTCCAAAGAGAAGTTCACCACCATCCTGAATGCCCTCTTGCCTAAACAAACGCACAGGAGAGAAAGTGCCTGGTTATTTATAGCCATCTCCGGAGTCCAAAGATAGACTGTGACTGGAACATCCAGGATCCTAGCTGAAGTTATAGCACAAAAACCTTCTCAGAGATAGACCAAGAACCCTGGTGACAATGGGGGGGGGGTCGGAAATCAAGCTTATGGGGAGCTTTCGATCATCATGCACCAGACACATTGGTGCTGTGACACCTGCCCGTTCATCCAGTGAGATGCAAACCTGGGCAGTCCCCAAATACAACGACGGCGGGTGGGTGCCAGTGAGTTTGCAATGGGGTGTTTCAGAAAAGCCTCATCTACTGTTTGGAGAAAATGAATCATCTTGTAACAAGGGTGGAGTTGTCAATCTAGTGCCCGGCATTCAAAGGTGCCATGGAGGTAACTGTGGGTACTCGGCATCTGGGAAAAAGCTGGCACGGAGTGTCCAGAGCAAATCATAGAATCGTAGGACTGGAAGGGACCTCAAGAGGGCATCGAGTCCAGTCCCCTGCACTCGTGGCAGGATTAATTATCTAGACCAGGGGTCTCAAACACGCGGCACATCCCACACCCCTCCCGCACTCCAGCCCCCTGCCCTGAGCCCCCTGCCACATCCCGCACCCCAACCCGCTGCCCTGAGCCCCCTGCCACATCCCACACCCCCAACCTGCCTGCCCTGAGCCCCCTGCCACATCTCGCACCCCCAACTCCCTGCCCTGAGTCCCCTGCCACATCCCGCACCCCAACCCCCTGCCACACCC